TTTGGTTATTTCTTAGATTTGTTGTCGGTCTACTGGGAAAATGTCTGTCTGCTGGGTTAAGAACACACAAACAGCTTTACTTTGTCAGTTTTGATGATGTTGAAGGTTGTGTTTGAATTTTTGTGCCTCGTAACGTCTCCTGAGTGATTACAATCGACTCCTGAGCCGGTTCACATCGGACCCTTTTAGAAAGTCTGAGGAGCTCAGCACAGATCTGGAAAAGGAAGTCGATGACTTGAACAAGTCGTAAGCCTTCGTTTTCTCTTTCCTCTAAATCTTCCTGAGATCTCTGACCCCCGAAGCAATAATCTTTGGAGCGAGATGGCTCACCTTGAGAACTGGTGTCCCTGAGGGTCAGGTGGGCAGATGGCCTCTGGGCCACAGAGGTCACGAACTTCGACCCCGAATTGTTGAAGGAGCGAGGCATGGTTCTGGCCTCTGAGGCAGGAAAGAAGTCACAGAATGTCAGAAATGAGGCTGGAGATGAAAGGAGTTGTTCTGCATGAGTGTCTGTGTGTGTGTGTGTGTGTGTGAAGGATGCTCACCAATGAAGGTTTGTTTGGAGATGATGTTCTCTGTCACCTGAAAGACAAAATGGAAACACATCGGTTAAGACAAATAACAACAAAGAACCCAATCAACATCCCTCCTGTCTGCTCACACAAGGAAAGAGCCGTGGATAATACGGCACAGTACTGCTAATGTTATGTGTGCTGAGCATTTGACAGCAGATAAACGCAGTCTAAACATTAGTTTGTCTTGTGGCAGAAGTAATGTGGTGTTCAGAGTCATGAGTCTAAAGTTGATTCTAAAGCAGCGACTGTTTTTTCTTCTATTTTATGACGAATAAAAAGCCAGGACTGGTTTTCTGGGTGTGCATTTATGTTGCAATGGACATAACTGTATTGTCTGTGTTCAATTTAAAGTCTTTATGACACCTTCTCAGCACTGATAACATAAAATATTCCTTTTAAACAAACAAAAAAGTCTCATATGCAATTCTGTGGATGTTGTTTACAGAGAGGACATAAATATTAAAAATTATGATATAAAATATAAAGTGATCAGCTGCTAAGATGGGCGATAGATGCATCACGTCACCTATTATTAGTTTTTATGTTATTATGTTATTTAATTTGGTTCATTGTCCTAAAAAAAGCCCCAAATCGTTCATGCTCGTACCAAATTTTAATTTATAGTGAATTTTTGTTTGACCTTCTTCTGGCTGCAAATGACATAAAATAAGTAACGAATGTTGGGAAAACATTGTGTTCGAGATGTTAGACTTGTTTTTTTCCCTCCATTTTCATTAAACATGCCATCTATAGAGTTATTTAGACCCTTTGTCAGTAATTAATGTCAAAGCTTTCATTTGCAACCACAGATGAGGAGCTGATCTGTATAATTACTGTACATATAGTATAATAACAGTCTTTCTGCATGTCCCACGGGGACTTTGTTCCACTCCTCTTTGAGACGATCTCCTGGTATTTCACGCTGACGTCTTTCTTGCCGTTCCTCTGGTTCTTAGTTCCCTCTACAAAAATTCCTGACAGGATTTATTTCTGTTCACCGTTGTCTTGTTGGAAGGTTCAAATCCACCCAAGGCCAAGTTTCCTGCAGACTGCCTGATGTTTTCCTCCAAAATCCTGAATGTGGTCCTGTTTTCTTACGATGCCACTAATTGCCGGCACATCGGCTTAAAAACACCCCCAGCGCATCACATTCCCATCATGCTTCACTGTCAGGTTGGTATTCTTAGGATTGAATGCTTCTTCTTTCTTTGAACAAAAATCCCATCTCTGTGTCCAAACCACTCCATAAGCAGAAACTTTCTTCTTGGTCCAGCTGAGCTTTTGTGCGTCTGTCTTGGAAAGATGAGCTCCTCCTCGGTCTACGTCCATGGAGACCAGCCTTGTTCAGCGTCTACGGTGTTTCTCCCCAGAACTGCTCACATTCATCAGGACTTTCCGAACGGTGCTGATCCTTTGGATTCTTCTTGCCGGTGCAGAGGTCGCTCCTGGCTTCCTACCAGCCCTTTGAGATTGTTCACAGCGTGGAACTCTTTGCTTTGTTGAGAACACTTTGCTTCACTGACTGTAGAACGACTGCATCAGCCCTTCTAAACAGTGCGTCAGAACGCCCCCGTGGTGGGTACAAACCATCGAAACATTTCGACCGTTTCAAGGGAAACTTCTTCAGTAAAAATAACGATTGGAACCCATCCATATGTATTAACATCCGTAACGTGATGTCTCACTTTCTTTTGTCACATGTTTATATGATTTGCAGCCATAGGAAACCTATTGTCAGATAAAAATCCACTATCAATCAAAATTCGGTATGAGCCGGAGTAAGTTTGGGCCAAATTGCACATCTGTCTCGCATATTGGTATTTTCTCGCTGAAGAGAGAAAATGTGCCACATCCTCTTCTCCTCCTTCCAGCATCACAGTACTAAACTATAAACTTCCTTCTCTCCCTGCAGACAGCTCATTTCTCCTGTCTGCCCTATCTCTGCTTTATTCCTCCTGCTCCTCCTCGTAATCACTCACTCCCGATGAGCGGCGCCCCGTTTCATCTTCCTCACTTCCAGATAGAGCCAAGGCACGGAAATATACCATTTGTTCGAACACACAGATGCATTTTATCACTCTCACACACGTAATTTTTCCGCCGATGCTTTCTGTGCTCGCTTTGACTCCTTGCTTTTGTCCGTCCCACTTAGTAAATCAAGCTTCAGCTGCCTTCGTTTCATAAATATTTATATACATACGAGTCTTTCCGTCCTTTCAGCTTCATACCATCTTAATCTCTTCTCGCTCCCCCTTCAGTCAGAATTACTTCGACGTCTTTCACCTTTTTTGTCAATTCTACGTCTACTTTTTTTCATTTTCTTCCCTTTTATTTTCTCCACATACTGTATGTCTTATAACCAAAAAGGTCACAGGTTTAATCACCTGTTACAAGTCATGTGGCCGGTCTTTAGTGCCCCTGAGCAAGGCACCGAGCCCCTGTTGCTATAAATCTCCAGATTAATTTGCTGAAATGCCACAAAGTCCTGAATATAATTAATTCCACCAGCGTTTTTTTAATGGTCACCCGGCTACATATGTGGTGTTGTTCTTGGCAGCGGGTCTGTTTCTCCTGCACCGAACACTCAACTCGACCTGCAAATTGGACGTGATCGCTGTGGGCTTTGGCGTGCGAGTGTGTGCGTGTGTCTCGGTGTGAACTGAGGCAGGGCGCCCCCCACTCGTGTATATCCTATATACTCTGAGGGGAACACAATACAGTAAAGTGCAGAGCGTCTACTCGGAGCTAAGTGTAGCGTGCCAGTCTCCGCATCACGTTCCTCAAGTCACTGAAAGCAGAAAATTGCCCGACACACACACACACACACACACACTTGAAGAGAAAGACAGAAAATTGCCAACAGATTTTCTGCCCTGCATGTGGCCACAGTCGAACCAAAAAAAAAGAAGAAGAAGTAAACACGAGGAATACGTGGGTTTTTCAGAAGCAGGAACCCACTGGAAGCTTTCAGACGTTCTTCAGGGGCGACTCCAGCACAGCATGTTTTCAATATACACATTTAGCATCGTGTGCTGTTTTTAATGCTCGCATGTTCACATGGGAAACTATTAGACGGCTAAAGAGTGAAATCAGCTGTGGCGGCTGCATGCATAATTTATGCTCTGCACAGAAGTGGAAGCTTTCTGAGAGCATCCTGAGAGATTTCTGACCAGCTGCATGTTGAGAGGTGAACACCAGTGTCATGTAGCGTTGCAGTCCATTTACAGTGTTTTCTGCCTCCCCGTTGGCATCTGGTTTGTATTTACAACCTAATGTATGACGTTAGATATGATAAATTTAGAGTAAATGGCGTCAAGGGTGCTCAAGATTAACCGCAAACATTATTTTAAAACCAAGAATGCAGCAGTGATGTTAGTTAAGACGTATAGTACACTTTTGAGAAATTAATTCCTGCAGGAGCTTTCCATGAGGACGAAGAAAAAGGTGCTGAAAGGGGGTAAATTGATTGCTGGTATCTTAAAGCATAAACACATCTGCATCCTTCTGAGTTACTCAACGCAACATATCCCGCAGGTGTGATCAGATCACAACAATTATAACAGTTAATATGCTGCATTTTCGGCCCTGCAGGTGGTTTCAGTGTGATAAATGTGCAGTAAAAAAGAGCTTACAAGATTATTTTTTTAAAGCTTCCTGCAGCTTGAAGCCATTAGTCTTCCCTTTAAATGAAAGGTCAGTCGCGGATAACATCATGGAATAATTTCAGGCAATAAGGGCTTCTAACAAACAACAGCAGCATGTGATGTACAGTGTAAACGTAAATGTGAGGCGTGCGTCTGCAAAAATGGGCTCAGCAGCACACTGAACTGTTGACAGAATATTTGGTGTACTAGTTGTGTAACGTGGCTAGAAATCAAATCTGAATCTCTATTTTTCTCCATTTTCTCTGACGCTGATTGTGCATGACTCTGTATGTATACATGACACCAAATATTAAATGACTGGTGGAAGGTGGATAATCAGAGAGGCAGTCGGAGGTAACTCAGAGGGTAACGCAGCAGCTTGTGTACCTATACGTAAAATATGAAAAGCATATGGAATTCTCAGATACATGCCAACTTTCACCCCAACTACAGTCCATCTGGAGGAGTCTGGAACCTGGAAAGATTTACTCGGACTTACTCGCGTGTCAGAGGTCGAGCCAGTTATTTGAGGCGTGCACCAATTAAATAGTTCCCCGCAGCTAGAATGACTGAAGAGTGCACTGATAGCACGCCCAGGCTGCATTTAGTGCTTCCAGGTGAGAGTCCGCTTCTGTTTTTGGAAAGACGTTCTCCATGTTTGCTGCTCCTCCTGTGATAGAGATGTTTGCCTCGGCGTTCTTTTATGGAGCACCCTGGGAGCCGTAGAAGTTTAAGGCTCCGTAGTTGGATGTCTTCTTAATGTCTTTTCATGTTAGATGTTTGCGTCTTCTCAACTGCCATACGTATGGGAATAATAGCTTAGCTTTTCTTTTTCCAAAGTTCCTCCCCTCTGAATCAGTCACACATGGCTCATTTATGTGCCTCCTTCACACATACATCATCCTCCACACTCAGGATTGCAAATTGGAATATTTTACTTGTGTGTTTATCAGTGATGTGAATTGAATGTAAAAGGAACAAGCACAAAAGGGTCTTAAGTCTTTCATCTAGGAGAACTAACATTTCTAAAGTGAGCAGCGTGCAGGATTTAGCTGCAGCAAAGGTTTCGTAATCGCCTCTGGGACGGCCCAGGTGTTTTTTTTTTCTTTTCGGGAAGTATTGTTAGTGAGCAAACATTAAAACTGCAATGACAAGAAAGCATCACCATTTGTGGACCCACTGAGGTGGAAATGTTGTTGAAGGTAAAACCCAGTGATGCCTAAGCTTGGTCTTGCAGGAATGTTTATTGCATCGGTCAAAAATAGAGAAAAGCTATGAGCTGAATAAATGATGAAACACTAAATAACACAGTTTTAGCACCCGGTGATGCTTTGATGAGCGTTGAGAGAGCGGTAAATCCCAC